ACCAGGGTGGTCTCGATCTCTTGACCTCGTGATCCACCAGCCTCGGCCTCCCAAAGTGCTGGGATTACAGGCTTGAGCCACCGCGCCCGGCCCGTTTTGTTTTTTGAGACAAAGTCTTGCTTTGTCGCCCAGTCTGGAGTGCAGTAGCATGATCTCCACTCACTGCAACCTCTACCTCCCGGGTTCAAGCGATTCTCCTGCCTCAACCTCCTGAGTAGCTGGGATTATAGGCACTTGCCACCATGCCCGGCTAACATTTTTGTATTTTTAGTAGAGACACGGTTTCTCCATGTTGGCCAGGTTGGTTTTGAACTCCTGACCTCAAGTGATCCGCACACTTCAGCCTCCCAAAGTGCTAGGATTACAGGCATGAGCCACTAAGCCCAGCCCCTTATCACTCCTAAATAGTGTTTGTCTACAAAGATGTTCTCCTACATCATCTCAACATAACCATTAAAATCAAGAAATACAGATACATTATCACCATTTTATCCTCAAATCCCACTCAAGTTTTACCACCTATCCCAAAAGTCTTTTATTGTACAAAGATTTGGTCTGGAATCATATGTTAAATTTAGACTCCAGCCTGGAAGACTCTCTCAAACTTTTCTTGAGTTTTATGAACTCAACACTTCTGAAAGTTACAGGACAGTTATGGTCTTCAATTTAGGTTTGTCTTATGTTTCCTCATGATTAGATTTAAGTTATACATCTTTGGTAGGAATATCACAGAAATGATGCTGCATCTTTGTTGTATCCTAGCAAATGGCTCATGATTTTGACTCATCCCATTACTACCTATGGTTGATTTAATAATTTAGTTAGGATGTTCTTTTGACAAGTTTTCTTGCACAAGATGTTCCAGGCTTATCTTGTACTTTCACTGCCCCTGGCCTGAAATAGGAACCCTGGTTCCTTTTAGTGGAAAACAGTCCTTACAGGCCAAGACCCGTGAAGTAAGGGGTGCTCACTGCTAATGGGGTCGTTGCTCCTAAACATTTTCAAGTGGACTGTCAGGCAATACATGTACATTTAGGTACACCCACACCTATACACTCACACATTTATGTCTTTTTTCTATACCTATCTGTCTCTATGCTTAATGTCATGAGTTTACAATTATACCTCACACAAGATACATTTTAGTTTTCTCCTCTTTTGTACTGGTAACTCCTTTCTCGGAGAGAGAAATCAGCCTTCCATTAAACTCAATATATTCATTTATTTGATTATGCTTCCTGCATGCAACCAGTTTCCCATATTCTCTTCCATCCTTCCCCTGCATAGCTGTCCTCTTTTCCCTATTTGAATTGTTGACTCCTATTCTTGGTTGAACTTATCTGGGACTCCTCCTTACCCAACTTGGATCATTCCTCTGTGTGAACACTCTCATCACTTGCTATGGCTCCTTTCCAGTCTGCACTTCTCCAGGCATGCTGTCATCATCTTGCTCAGTCTCAGACTCCCTACACCAAATTGCTTCTACCCTGTGTGGATGCCCTCAGTTCAGGCTTTGACATCCACACTCTCCCCCTATTGCTTCATGAATAGACGACCCTATCACTCAACTAGGGCACTGACTCTCCATGTTGGGCTGCTGCCCCTCCCTCACCCTCAAATTTCCCACACTGGTTACCTACCCTGTGTTGTACAGATGCCTTCCTCACCCTCTGACTACTCCCTACAATGTACTGCCCTGCCCTGTGTGGATGCTACTGTTACCACACTTGGGCTCTGACACCCCACCCTGGGCCATCTTGGCCCACCTCCAACTACAGCACCTTCCCTGCTTGGGCCTATATAACCGGCTTTAGGACTGAAATACTCAAGAAAGGGAAAAATTTTTATATATATGAGCACACACACACACACACATATACACACACATACACACAGTATTTCACTTTATTAGAAGAATGCACTTGATAAAAAGTTGAAAACGATCTGTATGCATAATGCCCAGAACACTACTTCTAAACTAAAAATGCAAGTGCTGTTGGGAACCTCTAAGAACTGAAACGTTAAAGCAACATGACTTTTCTCCTTTTAAACTGAAGTTATTCAATTCCTGTACCTGCAACCTAGTAACAAAAAAACAGTAACACAAAGCATTCCAACTTCCCAAGTAACTGAAAAGTACATTGCAAAAAGTTGTTTAATGATGCCTTAAACATAAATATGCTGAAATTAAAAATAGGAGCTGGTTAAAAAGCAGTCAGCTTTAGGTGATTTGACATATTGCTCATTAAAAAAAGCATTAAGTTGAGTAATGAGGTAAAAATAACTATTCCAAATCATGTTTAATTCAGGCAGAAGAGAAGCAAAAAACCAAAAGAAGGAAGACAACTTTTTCTACTACTTAAATAGTTCCTAGATGTTTATTATAGCAGGCCCTCAATAATAAAGTTAACAAACTTCACTAGGAGCATTTCTACCTCTTATCTTCTGAAATGCCAATTAGCAAATCAGCTACTTTAACAGACTTCCAAGCTACAGTAACATCTAGGTCAGAGCTCTGATTTAGAAACCAATCTTATGCCACAGACTCTCCTTCCATCCAAGCATCAAGGGGCCCCACGTGATTAGGCACAGGAAAACCACTTAGCAGAAAAACATCTCGGCCAAGTGTGGTGGCTCATGCTTGTAATCTCAGCACTTTGGGAGGCCGAGATGGACCTGAGGTCAGGAGTTCAGGATCAGCGTGGCCAACATGGTGAAACCCTGTCTCTACTAAAACGTATCCGGGTGTGGTGATGGGAACCTGTAATCCCAGCTACTCAATAGGCTAATACTGGGGAATCACTTGCACCCAGGAGGCAGAGGCTGCAGTGAGCAGAGATCGTGCCACTGCACTCCAGCCTGGGCGACAGAGTGAGACCCTGTCTTAAAGGAAAAAAAAAAAGCAAATTCATTTAAAAAGCAGTAAGTATGGAGGTGTAGTCTCCCAGATGTATTATTCTGAAGTCCCTCCCTGTTTAATAATTAAAATATAAACCGGAGTCCAAAATTCATGTCAAAGAAAGAATAAAATGTGGTACCATGATGCACTGTGTCCGTGTGCACCTCTGAGTTATTTCTAGGCCTCAGTTTCCTTATTTGTAAAATGAGGATGCTCAATGAGATCAGTGGCTCCCAGAATGTCAGACTGGCTACAATGAATCACTTGAAGGACACATTAAATAAGTCCGGATTCCCATTTCAGATCCACTGAACCAAATTCTTTGAGTATTTTTAACAGGTTCTTCAGATGATGATATAAAGACAGGCTGGAAACAATGTGAATAAATGATGTGTTTTTTTTTTTTTTT